AAACTGGTAGTGTGTATGTGAAATCCCTCAGCAATGAGGATTATTCTGATAGTTATGTGTTATGTTTGTCAGCATGGTGACGTTGCGCGAGAGACCAGTAGGCGGATCAGGCGCCGGAGAGGGATCAGGCTCGGGTTCAGGGACCGAGCAGCTCGAGGAGCGTATGAGGGAGTTTATATCAGCAGAGGTTACGCGCAGCATACTAGACCAGACTCCTGTGATCTTTGGCACGGTCAAGGATGGTATACTGGAGATTTTGGATGAGAGGTTGGGAGCCTTCCGTACAGAGATGATGGCTTTGATGGGAGCTCGTACTTTGACATTCCGAGAGTTTAGAGCTTGTGGCACACCAGATTATCACGGGGCTAGAGACCCCATCGCTAGCAGCAGGTGGTTGGCCGATGTTGCCAACGCTTTTCGTACGAGCCGGTGTCCCGAGGGGGACAAGGTCAGACTCGCCTCCTGTCTTCTGAAGGACAGAGCGAGGGATTGGTGGGAGGAGGTTGGTCACGTCATGGGTGATGATGCCGCGTTGGACGCGATGACCTGGAGTGATTTCTCGGCCAGGTTCAGGGCTGAGTTTTCGCCGATTATTGAGGTGCAGCAGTTGGCACGGGAGTTTCAGGATTTGACGCAGACTACTGAGACTGTGGCGGAGATCACCGCCAAATTCAGGGAGAGGGCCCTTCTTGTTCCGCAGTATGTCGCGGATGAGGAGATGAAGAAGGCCCGATATCACGAGATGTTGAGGGCTGACATCAGGGAGTTCGTGAGTAGGTCCGGCTGTAAGACGCTGGAAGATATGATCTCTCAGGCTAGAGAGAGAGATTGATTTGGAGCAGATCCGGAAGAGGAAACCGGATGAGATACATGTAGCCACAGGTTCGGGCAAAAGGCCCAAGGGGTCAGATTCGGGATCGAGGGATTACCAGAGGTGCGGGAGGTGCGGCAGGACGCACGAGGGTGCGTGTAGGAGTGGTAGTGGTGGAGATTCGGGCTGCTTCAAGTGCGGCCGGACTGGTAATCTTAGCAGGGATTGTACTGCTACCACCACACAGGGATCAGACCTGATATGTTTTCACTGCAGTCAGCGGGGCCACAAGAAGGCCCAGTGCCCCGGTTTGCTTTCAGCAGAACGGGTGGTAGCACCTGCCCCTGCGACATTGAGGGTCACGGACGGCCGTCAGGGCCGAGCAGAGGTACCTGCGGTAGGGGGCAGGGCTTTTCAGATGTCTACCATGGAGACACGAGCAGCACCGGACGTTGCAGGTGCGTATCTTTTATTTCCCTATTGACTTTTATTCATGATTATATTGTTATGGTTCTGCATCGTTATTGGTACGAGTATTTTAGAATAGGGTGGCCTGCTTGTGAGTAAGAAATATATCATCTGCATACCGAGGACTTGAGAATGATAGTTAAAGGATGTTCCTTCCTAGAGCAGGTTACTTAGGGTGCAGTAACTGTAGCATGTCTATGTGGGGCTCGGAGGTGTCCCGCTAGTTTCCGGAAGGTGCTGTTGAGGGATAGATTGGTTAGATCCCATAGTTATGATAAGTTTGGGCTTTACAGCAGATTGATTACGGAATGGTGGTAAGGATTGGGAATTCCTGCCAAGCTTTGAGCAGTGAGGTATAAGCAGGATCAAAGTGGGGGAGAACCATCTGAGTATACAAGGGTAAGAGCACGCAGATCCAGAAGGAGTACGCGACCACCGAGAAGAAAAGAAAGTAGTACAACGATTGATGGATTGAGGAGTTCAGGATTGGGAGTTTGAGGAACTTCCCAACAGTTAGTTCAGGTAATCGAAATGGTTGGCAGCTGGTTGAGAATCCAGGTTGGAGGACCACCTATAGGACTCTAGTGAGTCGGAATGAGAATCTTGAGAACGGTTAGCAAGAGATGCTTATGTGTTAGTAGTTAGTAGCAGAGATCGGGCGGAGGTCCGTATCTTCCAATTAGCGGAATTTGGGCGAGACCCGTACCTCCTAGTGATCACGGTAGAGATCAGGAATGGGTAGTTGATGAGAGTAGTATGGAGCTAGCCTGCATAGCCCTAGAGAGGTGAGACCTTGGGAGAGGCCGCTCCAGGATGTAGCTAGGTGAGACCCGTGGGCGAGGCCCGTATGCTGGGAGCAGTATAGGTGAGACCTAGGAGCAGGGTTGCTCAGTAATATGGTTGGGTGAGACCCGTGGGCGAGGCCCGTGCGAGATTCGTTAGGCAAGTGAGATTAGAGGAATAGACCACTTGAGGTTATAGACGGGTGAGACTCGTGGGCGAGGCCCGTGAGTTTATAGCAGCGCAGGTGAGACCTGGTAGGGACCGTAGTGTCAAGATAGGGGATCGAGGATCCTAGAACTTGTAGTGCCAGGGTGGCAGAATAGATAGAACAGTTATAGATAGTCGATGTATATTCAGAAGTCGTTGGGAGTGACTAGGAGATTGCGTTGGGGTGTAGTAACCGGTGGGGGTCCGGTCAACCCAGATATTGGTAGGTTAGTTAGACCAGGGTGGTCTCAGTGCATCCGGTAGGCGGATGAGGGGCAACATAAATTCCAGTAAGTGTGGGCTAGGCCCGTATCTCACTATCAGTAGGAGTGTGGACGGGGTTCCACGACTCATCAGTAGCAGGACAAGGGAGAGGCCCAAGATAGGCGAGGCCTTAGAACAGGATTCAATAATATATGTTCAGTTATGTGTTGGGATATGTTTATGTGTTAGTATATGTTAGCGGGCGGGGCCCAGAGACAGGCGGGGCCTAAGAGAAACAGATCTGTATCCGAGCGGGGCTCGAAGCCAGGCGGGGCCTGGAGCGGCAGGGCCGTTGTAGCGGGCGAGGCCCGAGGTAGTGGGCGAGGCCCGAAGTAGCGGGCGTGGCCCAGTATTTGCAGTATGTGATTATGCAGGGTATGTGGTAGGTTGGGGAACTCACTAAGCTTCGTGCTTACGGTTTTCAGTTTTGGTTTCAGGTACTTCCGGTAGCGGAGGGAAGAGTTCGGGGTGATCGCATGGCACATACCATAGATTAGACAGCCTGGGAATGTTTTACTCTGATAATGAAAATATGTTTTGGAATTAATACTCTGATTATGTTATGGAATTGATAAATGTGTTTAAGTAACGTTTTATAAAAGAAATTTTTAGTCTTGAAAATTGGGTCGTTATATATATATATATATATATATATATATATATATATATATATATATATATATATATATATCCTTACAGAAAAAAATCAATAAACTCGGATAGCAAAAAAACATAAAAACCTGTCATTGTTGGTCATAAAAACTAAGTTGACTAAGGTGTTGTTTGTTTTTTCGAAGCGAAAACGTCTGAAGTCTGCGGACCACCTCTGCAACCCTTTGTAGCAAAAGAGGTGGAACAAACAAGTGCAACATTTAAAAAAAAGTTTGTTTGTTTTTTAATGTCTGCAGACTGCTGCAGTAAGTTAAAGTAAGACGTGAAGAGGTTTGAAGCAGCTGGTTTAGTGTTGCGCCACGCAGCACACGCGCAGCAGTTTTTAAGTCAGAAGTTTTCTGAAAAACAACCAGTTGCGAAGGACCAAATGTTGCGTGTGTACTGCGCGGCGCAGCAATAAGAGGCAAGAAGATGTTTTTTAGAAAAAACAAACAGCACCTGAATAATTTTTCGGTGACTTTTTAGACTTAAAACAAAATTTTGACTAAAGGAACACAAAGAAAATAGTGCGTAGTAATTTCGACTTTAACCTTTATTTTATTGATATTATAATGGAATAAAACTAAGATTGTTTAAAAGAAACCTCAAAGGCCAAAATTTTATAGTGAAATTTTAGAAATAGGTCCAACAAAGCATTAAGCAATCCGCAAAATGCAGGGATTTAAATAAATTAAAGGAAATCATTTAAGCCCACAAAGTTCTTTGTTGGAGAAGTTGTTGACTTGGGCTTCTAATGTGAAAAGAATTTTTGTTGCCTTTGTCTCCTAATGGGAAAAGTAATTATAAGTTGTTGCAACTTGGAATATTTAACAACTATGTAGCATTATCGGCTGGTCAAAAAGTTATTGCCATTTTCTGTAAGTCATGTAAAAAACGCTTTATGATTAAACAAAGAAAATAACTATCTCATCATCATCACGAGTTAAGGATCGTTTGATAGTTGTTAATTGAGTTAAAGTTAGAGTAAACTCAGTTAGAAGTTTTGACCGAGTTTACATCTGACTGAATTTATGATGTTTGATTATTTTTCTGACTGTGGTGAATGATAAAAAAATGACCATATTACCCTTGTGAGTTTGTTCATACACATAACAAGACATCTACTAACAAAATAACAAGCAATGTAATTTTAACAACAAAATAAATCACAGCAACAGCCAAAAGGTAATATTAACAGAAATTCGACTCTACATCATTTGCATTTCTTGTATAGCAAAATTACATAAAAGCACATAGCATCTACAAAAACATTAATAAAATTAAAAAAAAAAAAAAAACCCTCATACATATATCTGAAAAACAGGAACAAGAAGGAAGAAACAGCAAAACAGGAACAGAAGAAACAGAAACAGCAAAACAGCCAAACGACTTTCTCAGCAAAAACGCATACGATATAGCAGCAAATTTTCAGAAAGAAACAAGGAACAAGAAAGAGAAATCAGAAAATATCGTAAGAAATAGAGAAATCCCGAAATCAGGAACAAGAAGGAACGAAGGACGAAATAAGTAGGTGTTGATTCGTCGGAAGTAGGCTGCTTGATTTCTCTATTTTCTTAGGCGGAACGCAAAATGGGAAGTCTTTCTTTTTGTTCCCGGTCCATCAATTAACTGGAAAGCTAGGACTGAATCCCTCACTTTCTAATCCTCCATATCAAACATGCCAAATGGCTTTTTTTGGACCTAGTTAGACAAACGACCCCTTATTGTAATAAATAACTGGAGTAGGGTCCTCAAAATGCCTAGATATAAAAGCGAGCAACTAGCTAGCCTTGTAATCCTAAGTTTAGTTGCAAAAATGAACACAAGGCAACCAATTTCCTTTTCCTGTTTTGTTATATTTCTGATTGCTGCCTCCATCTCAGCTTCCATCGATGGTGGTAATGAGACCGATTATCAAGCGCTCTTGAAGTTCAAATCAATGATCAGGAATGAAGAAGCTCTAAGCTCATGGAACGCCTCCTTTCATTTCTGTGAGTGGAGTGGCGTTTCATGTGGGAAGCTGCACAGAAGAGTCATTGCTCTACAACTGAGTTCCAAAGGCCTTGAAGGCTCCTTGTCTCCTCATGTAGGGAACCTCAGCTTCCTTCGTTACTTTTCTCTCTTCCACAACAGCTTTCAAGGAACCATCCCTCATGAAATCGCTCGTCTCTCCAGGCTACATTACCTCTCTCTTGGCTATAACAACTTCAGCGGGGTCATTCCAGCTAACCTGTCTGCTTCTTCTAACCTTGTCGCGCTTGACCTTTCTGATAACGAGCTAGTTGGAAGCATACCCAAAGAGATTAGTTTCCTCTCCAAACTTAAATATCTTTCGGTTGATGATAATAATTTAACCGGTGGAATCCCGCGTGTCTTGGGGAATATAACATCAATGGACGTGTTCGTTGTTGCTGAAAATCCGTTGGGTGGGAGCATTCCTGACACCTTAGGCCACTGGAATAGCTTAACACAACTTTACCTTGGTGCTTGTAACTTATCTGGGACCATCCCTCATTCCATTTTTAACCTCTCACTCCTAACCAATTTTTCCTTGTCTGAGAATCAGCTTACCGGTAGTCTTCCCTCAGCTTTAGGTACAACGCTCCCTCATCTTACGTACCTTCAGTTATGGGGTAACCAACTCACCGGAACTCTTCCACCCTCGATATCTAATTGTTCGAAATTAGATTTTCTTGAAGTCCATCTAAACAACTTCAGTGGGAAGTTGGAAATTGACTTTGCAGAAATGAAAGATATGTATTTTATATCCTTTGGTGGTAACAACATCTATGGATCCGGAGGTGCTGATGACATGAAGTTTATTGATACTTTGAAAAACTGTAGCAGATTAGACACATTGGATCTTTTTAGTTGCACGTTTCAAGGACCATTGCCTGCATCAATTGGTAATCTTTCTGATAGACTCAGTTATCTAAGTTTAGGAGAAAATCGTATACATGGAAACCTTCCTCCAGGTATAGGTAATCTAATTGGCTTGACCAATTTAGGTTTAGAAAATAACCAGTTTACAGGAAAAATCCCCTCAACCATTGGTAAGCTTCAGAACCTACAAATGGCTTCTCTACATTACAACCAATTTTCAGGGCCGATTCCAGATGCCATTGGAAACTTATCATTGTTGACTAAGCTTTGGTTAAATTCCAACAAATTGGAACGACATATTCCATCAAGCCTGGGAAATTGTCGTAATCTATTAGAGTTGCACCTTGATGACAATCAACTCAGTGGGGGAATACCTAGACAACTTCTTCAACTTACATCTCTAACCATCACACTAAATCTTTCTCAAAACAACCTGGTCGGGTCGCTTCCAACAGAAATTGGCAACCTCAAGATGTTGACTTGTCTTGATTTGTCAAATAATAATTTATCAGGTAACATTCCCAGTAGCATTGGTGGTTGCACTAGCCTTGTATTCTTATCCCTCAAAGGTAACTTATTTCAAGGCCATATACCAACGTCATTAAGCTCCATGAGAGCAGTTTCGACACTTGATCTTTCTCATAATAATTTATCTGGCTAATTTCCTCGATTCTTGGAACGGTTGACCTTATTAGAATATGCAAATCTGTCCTTTAATGACTTCCAGGGCAATGTACCGGTGATCGGAGTATTTGCAAATGCAAGTGCATTCTCTGTTTTGGGTAATAATAGGCTTTGTGGTGGCTTGGCGGAAATTAGGTTGCCCAAATGTAATACAAAGAAGCATAACAAAAAGTTACCTTTGTTCGCCATACTCATTCTAACTGCATCCACACTTTTCACCATATTATGTTTTGCATATGTTTGGTGTAAGAAAAGGAAGAGTCAACCATCTCAATCATCGAGGGACGAACGGTTCATGAAAGTATCATATGGACAACTTCTAAAGGCTACCAATGGCTTCTCCCAAGCCAATTTGATTGGCGAGGGTGGGTTCGGCTCTGTTTATAAAGGAGTCCTTGATGATACAGTTGTTGCAGTCAAAGTTCTACGTCTTCAAAACCGAGGTGCTCACAGAAGCTTTACAGCAGAGTGTCAAGCATGGCGGAGTATTCGACACCGGAATCTGGTTAAGATAATAACTTCATGTTCAAGTCTTGACTTTCATGGCAATGACTTCAAAGTTTTGGTATACGAGTTCATGCCCAACGGGAGTTTACATGATTGGTTACATTCAAGTCCAAGTACATCCAGATTGAATCTTTTCCAGAGAATAAATATTCTCATGGATATCGCATCTACAATTGATTATCTTCACAATCACTGCCTATCACCCATCATTCACTGTGACTTGAAGCCTAGCAACATTCTACTTGATGATGATATGGTGGCCCATGTTGGAGACTTTGGTTTAGCTCGATTTCTTGGAACAAATCCAAACAAAAAAGGTACAAGTGGCATTAGAGGAACAATTGGGTATGCACCTCCAGGTAAAGTTCATGTATTCCTAAATGTTCATATTTATTTTAGTATTACATTTTCTGCGAATAATATTGCTTAAGAGTTGCAGAGTATGGTGTTGGGAGCGAGATGACAAGTAGTGGGGATGTCTATAGTTTTGGAATACTATTGTTGGAGGTGATGACAGGGAAAAGGCCGACTGATGACATCTTTAATGAAGGCCTTAGCCTTCATAAATTTGCACATATGGCCTTGCCAGACCATGTAATTGATGTTATTGATGATGATCTTCTGAACTTTCTTCAAGAGGATACTATTCCTACGCAACGTACAACAGCAAATGCAAAGAAAATAGAGGAATGTTTGTCTTCAACTGTTAAACTTGGAGTATCATGCTCCATGGAGTCCCCACAACAACGGATGCATATCGCAAATGTTGTCCATGAATTACAGAAAATTCTGGATACACTGCAAAATATCCATGGCTCCATGTTCTCTCATCTTCCTAAGTGAAAACATAATTAAAGAAGCCTCTGCCTTTCCTGAGAGGCACTTGTCTTTATTACAAAACATTAGTAGTATTTGTCCGTATTATGTATCATTAGTTAGTTCATTACACACCTGACTTGGGTGGTTACTGGTTAGGCAATCACTGCTTCATATGGTGTGTGCATTTCTAATATATCTTCTACTTCACATTTGACATTTCAATTCAACTCGATATATGAGTTAGAAGCCATTCAAGTATCGCATTTACATTACTTAAATGATTTGACTTGTACCCAATTTTCATGAATAATCTTGAAACTCACCTCTCTGAACTAACAAGTAACAACATTCCGACCTTGTTTACCTTTTCCCTCTACAACTTATCAATCGAATTCCTCATCCTTTACTGAAATACATAGTTATTTATCAACATCATAGATGATATCATTCTAGACACAAAACGTTATAAGTGTAGCTATTTCTAATTTCTATGCTTGGTTGTGCTTTAAATATTACAAACAGACATATAGAGCAAAATCACCATTTCTGTTTCATACTATTTGCACAATTTTGTTAAAGTTTTAAACATATAAAATGACACCATTTCATCTGAATAACAGTAATTTCTAGCCACCTTAGCCACAACCACATATTACAAAGAAGGATTTCCAAGTATTAAAGCATCTTTTAGGTCAAAATCCGACTAAATACCCAAAATCCCAAATTTATCATTTTTAACATAAGTAAGGTTCTCATACTTCATACAAATTACATCATCTTTCAGTAAACAGCAAGAATTACATTAAGATTGGTAGAATCATCCATAGAACATTAGGGTTTACATACCTCAGTTTCATTCGTATAAACATCAAACCCACTGATTCCCTTACGAAACTAATTTCCAATCTTGCTGTCGATCAAACTTCAACTTCCATCGCTTAAACCTCCTGTCGCTCTCTTTGAGTCGGTCGAGATAGAATCAGAAGATGAGTGGAGATGCAACCACTGTGATAAATAAGTGTGCGCTATAAATTGGTATCGTTCAAGTTAAGAAGGACCCAAGGAAACACTCTTTCAAATAAGTCAAAATTGTAAATTTAGCCAAACATGTTAATTATTTTTGTGGAAAATAGTTAATAAAAAAAAAACAAAAAAACAAAAAAAACTAAATTATATTTTTAGCCACCAAAATCACAAATGGATTAAAGGGCTGTTTGATTTGGTGCTGACCGGGTCCGATCAGACGTTTTTTTCTGACTCGGTTCGGTCAGAATATTTGATTTGTGTTGATTAGGCAGTTGACCCGGTCTCACTCCACAAAATTGATCTGACTCGGTAAGGTTTTAGTTCATCTGCGATTTTTCTAAGCCATATGTGAACGTATAAGTCGTTAAAGCATAGTCGTGCTTTAGCAACTTGTATGTTTGCAGGTGGTTTTGTTTTTAGTTTTTTTTTCGGCATAAATACCTCCATCCCTGACTAAAATCGCAGATTAGCTAAGTTCATCTGCGATTTCCTCTCATCCCACCTATGATTTTGCATTTTTTTTTTAAATTTATTATTTTTTTAACTACGAAATTAATATGGTTTGACTACGAAACAACCTTATTATATATAAAGTTTTGCAAAAATTATCACTTTAGTTGTTATTTCTTTAGAAAATTTGTTTAAAAATCTCTCTAATAAAATGAATTCGTCTATAGTGCCTCTAGAGAGAAAGTTCTCCAGCAAAAAGTTTGAGAAATAAAAGAAAAAAAAAATCCGTTTTATACCCTTGAAAAAGGGGAAATCATAGATGGGTGCAAAATTACAGATGTACAAGTCCATCTGCGAACGTATAAGTCGCTAAAGCATGGATGTGCTTTAGCGACTTGTACGTTCGCAAATGGACAAGTAAAATCGCAGATCAAGTCCATTTGCGATTTTAGTGGTTATTTTTGTAATTTTAGTTTTTTTAGTTATTTTCTACAAAGTAATTAAGGGATTAAGCTATATTTGTAATTTTCTCTTTAAATAAATAATAAATACGTTAGGATTAAGTTTTATTAAAAGACCTTAGTGGTATATATGCAGGTAGGTTATTTGTAGTTTAAAAAAAAGAAAAAAAAATTAAGACGGATATGAAATCTACATATGAAATACATAAATTTACCCAGTTGTGAATAAACTACAAATTTGGTATACGGGTTATCCAAAAAAATTCAATTTATATAACTAATCCAAAATCAAAATTTTCTTATGCTTGGGTCTTTGAAAAAGGTTGAAAAGGCTGAAATACATTTGCCCAGTTGTGTATGTCAATTCTATTAATTTGAAGAGTAAACTCTAAATTTAGTCTCCATAGTTTACAAAAAACTGTTAATGAATTTCAAAAAAAAAAATCAATTTGTACCATTGGTCAAAAATCGAAATTATTTTGTAGTTTTGGTCCTTAAAAAAGTTGAAAGGATTGTTTTACGGTTTTAATTTCTTTTTTCTATTTTTTTCTATTTATTTTAATACATTTTTAATTAAAAAAATGAATTAGTCAGTCTCTCTCTCTCTGCAACTAAAACATATATATATATATATATATATATATATATATATATATATATATATATATATATATACTAGGTGAATGCCCGCGCGTTGCGCAGAAACACCTATATAGTTGATGCCTTTACAAATATATGTTTTTTTTTAAATATAACAATAACATTTTTGTTAAATTTGATATAATATATCGTATAGTAAATTGATATAATATATTGATTATTTTGAATTATATATATATATATATATATATATATATATATATACATACATCTATTATAACTGCATAATGTAAATCGTTTGAATGACTTCTACCCGCGAGTTACACATGAATAAAATTAAATATAATATACAGTTTAATGTTATTTATAGTTGTTGTTATTGTTAATTAATTCTTTTAAATTTATTTGCTTAATATTTTAATTTCTATCATTATAATTATTTAAAACATCAAACATTGTTTTCTGATTTTAAAGGTAACAATATAATCATTTATATAGAGTTATTTTTAACTATTATTATTGTAAGTTATTTTAAGTTACTTATTTGAAAACTTATAACGATTATAAAAATATCTTTAGGAAATATTTTAGTTAATTTGAGATTACAATTTATTTTTTGGATTTATCACTACAATTTATCACTTTTAAGTATTTACAAAATATTTTTTGGCTTTTTAAGTGAAACTGAAATTTATATTTAAGTTGACACTGTAATGTTATATTTTAAATTGATAATGGTTTACATATAATAACATTTTAAATCTAATAAATTAAGTATAATATGTTAAAAGTTAAAGACATAAGTTTATAAGTAGAAGTAAAAAGATATTATTTTAAAATTGAAATTTAGTTTATTTATGATTACACTTTAGGTTTGATATTTATTTAACCTTATTAACCAACTTATAATCATTATTAGAAAGACACTAAAATTTATCACTTTTAACTATTTACATAATATTTTTTGGGTTGTTTAAGTTAAACTAAAATTTATATTTAAGTTGACCATGTAATGTTATACTTAAATTAATAATTTAAGTATTTTATACAAATTGTTCCAAAATTGTATCTTTAAAATGACAATGGTATATACATCCAACAATATATTAAAACTAATAAATTAAGTATAATATGTTAAAAGTTAACAAACATAACTTTATAAGTAGAAGTAAATATATTATTTTAATATTGAAATTTAGTTTATATATTATTATACTCTAGGTTTGATATAAATTTAACCTTATTAAACAACTTATAATTATTAATAGAAAGAAATTGAAAAGTCATGGGAGTTTCAAATGAATGTGGTAAAAGGAAAAATACATGGGAGTTTCAAATGAATGTGGTGAAAGGAAAAATGTTTCATTTATATGTATAGTAGGCGTAACCTTGCACGTTGCGCAAGAATGCATTTAAGTGGTTAAAATAATAATGGGAAAAAATAGAAATATGTTGAAATTTACGTTTTTAGTCATGTTTTGGGCATTAACCGAATTATCAAATAACATAAAAATCCATCAACTTATATTTTGATACTATCTAATATAGTTCATACCTTATAAACTTTACTTTTACTTTTATAATATCCAATATATATTATAAGCTTTTGTATAACATTAATATAATCTACTTTTCTTATGTCCGATAATATTTTTTAGATAAATTAAGAAATAAGTTGTTTTGAATGAGTTATTAATAAACAATATTGAACTAATAAACTTTGTATTACACTATTTATATTACACCAAAACATCCAAGGTTTCATATATGAACTTTCAAATATTAAACATTGAAATTAAGAATGAAGTCATACAAAATATATCATTATACATAAATGTCATCAAGAGTTTTAAAATAAGTCAATTAGTAAATATGATATTTAATTTTAATTACATATTTTGCAAGGCGTACATTTGACTTTATGTTGATGCGCCGAGAATCCTCTTCCTTAATTTGTACCTAAAAAATTAAGGTGAATAGGAATATAAAATAGATATTACTAAGCATTAATATAAATAATTAAAAAGGGTATGTGAATCTCCTACCACCGGTTAAAGACAACATACCTCTCTAGTGGTATCGATTCCTATGTGAAATTGAAGTAGTTATTCTATGTACACCTTGTTTACTAATTATATAAACAAATATGAGTAACCAAACATAAAATTGTTAACTTTATGTAGGAAAAATAAGTTAACTAACAAATTAAATAATATAAGTTTAGGAGTTAGGAGTTTCAAAACATTAATATTTTTATTAATCAATCAATTAAGTAACACATGTTGAAATTTTTACAATCATTATTAAAAAGCATTTGAAATATTATATTTTAAATGAATTTTGGTTGAAGTGTTTTGACCGTTATTATAATATATATATATATATATATATATGTATGTGTATGTGTGTGTTATACTTTACATCTCTCTCTCTCTCTCTCTCTCTCTCTCTCTATATATATATATATATATATATATATATATATATATATATATATATATATATATATATATATATAGAGAGAGAGAGAGAGGGAGAAATGGAAAGTATACCATATGTATGATTTTTAATTAATTATCTTTTTGAAACGGTACAATTACAAAACAAAAAAAAACATATTTAAAATATTTTTGACATCACCCTATATAACATATGATCAATATATTAACAATTAAACCACAATATACAACGACTGTATTACAATAATCCAAAAATGAAGAAAATATAAAAACGAATTAGTATAACAAACTTACAAATTAAAATCTCTAATATAATAGCATATCTCCAAAAGTGGTCATAAGACCTCAACCCAACACAAAAACCTTTAAGTTTGTTTTCTTTTTGAATTTTGTATATGATTTGTATGCATGTCTTCCCAAAAGATTGACCTTTTTATAGTAAACTTTTCACTAAATGTTAATTAAACATAATATAAGTTATAAAACTTTTGAGTGTTAAATCATAATTAAGAAAACTTTTGAGTTGCATTAGTTAAAAAAGGGGGTTTCAAATGAATGTGGTTTGAGGAAGTTAAAAAATAGGGTTTCAAATGCATGAGATTCAAGAAAAAATGCTAGTTTTATAAGTATATATGATATATATATATATATATATATATATATATATATATATATATATATATAGATACATACGTTTCCTTTATACACTTCTCCTCAGTCTTTTATTAGGTTTAAAGGGTCACCAATTAGGATTCATCACTTGTTCGTGTTTCAATCTCTTGTGTTTATGTGCTTCCCCTTTTCCTTAACTCTTTTCTTATCTCTTTTTCCGGTGATTGAAGCCATAGTGTATGCGGTAACAAGCAATAATGACATGAAAAAAAAAAGTCGAAGAAGCACACGACGAAGGAAATCCATGAGCAAATGGACATGACCACGACCAAGAGTAGCAGCGGCAAGGTCTAAGTTGCTGAATGGACCTGTCAAGAGAAGGAAGGTCATACTAAGTTCGAATGTCCTCACTGCAAGATCATTGTGTCGAACGTTAAAACGATTCAGATCCACCATGAATCGAAGCACCCTAAGCTTCCCATGCAATAAATCAAAGATAACTAACCTCCATGAAATGCTCGCTTGATACATGGAAGCCTCGCCCTAGAGTTTGTGGTAGTCTCAAGAAGCGAATATCTTCATATATTATCACAAATAAATTGTCCTCATGTGTTGATTTGTAACATTCTCAAAATGGACCTAAAAGTTTTTTCCATTTTTAGTGACAAAATATTTTTTTTAATATATATATATATATATATATATATATATATATATTGTTAGTAAATGTGTAAATTGAGAAGATAAAAGTTAAATTTAACACATCTAGTAAATAATGCTTAAATTGGACAAAATAAACTTTGATCAAGAGTTGACTCACTTAAGTAAGAATTAGGACCAAAAATGTTTTACACCACCAAAATGAGCTTCTTGAAGTTAAAATCACCCAAGGATGAAGAGATGAGGCGTTCTAGGGTTTCTCTGAGGTTGGAGGGCAGATAAGGAGGCTAGGGTTTGAGTCATTATGTTCTTTATATAGTGGTTGGCCCTAAAGTTAGGGTTTCTGGACACTGGACGTACGTTGGGTGTACACCTAAGGCACCCGCGACCATTTCCCTTTATACGCTGGGCGTACCCACGCGCCTTCCACTTTGCATGCATGGTCCTTCCTTGTCAACTTTTTTTTCCATTAGGGACCATTAATGCCAATAACTTCCAAGTGTCATTTCTTCCTTATTCGAGGTCCATTTCCAACGAACTTTATATCTACAAAAAGGTGGCGAGAAGCCCTACGCTTCTAACGACACACCCCGACCCAAAAATCTTCCGAATAAAACTTCAAGACCCATAAAAGACCAAAACGCCCCTAGCTTGGCCTCTGAAATCCACAACCAAAGTACTTTCCAAAACGAGGTGTTACACGTCGTGTCTTCACCTTCGATAAACCACCAAAACCTCCCCTTTGTCTTCTCCGGCAAGACTGGTTTTGATTATAGTTTTGATTATCATTTAGTTTTAGAGGGAAAAGGGATTATTCAATTTCAAGCGAGATGTCTTTAGTTTTATTTATTTAATTTAATGTTACTTACTTTTGGTACATTCTGGTTCACACAAATCCTTTCACTTGTTCATCGAAATTTTCTGCAGAGTCCTCATCGAGGTTGAGTTTCTTCCTAAAATCCCCAAAACCATAACCACAATTCTTCCAACATTTCTGATCTTCCCACTTCAATTCAAACACTCCAAATAATTGTATACACACCCTTATAATCGATTCTATCTTTATATACTTGTGAAATTCAATCTCTATGTAAAGACAACTTTTGTTTGGTTGCTATCGTTTAATTTATCCAACTTATGTACGTCATTGAATTCTTTTTGCCAAAACTATAATCTCCAAGCTTTTTTAATGGGTGGGTTTGTCAAATGGTGATTGAGTAGCCAAAGTGTGTGTAAGGGTGGATGTAGGGCGAAAGAGAAAAGACAAAGGTTTTGGGTTTAATCATGGTGGGTTTAATTGGTGATTGCAGATGGTAATTCAAACGAAGAAGATGATAATTTTTCCGATGGGTTTATGTTTTCAAAGTAATTGATGGTATATGAGAGAGAGGGAGCCGGTAGGAGTTTGAAACAGAGGTTTCATCTATACTGTGGATGTGTTTTTCGATGGTCAATGTGGTTTCCCGCCACAACACTTGTTTCCGACAAGCTAGTAGCCATCAGCAGTGGATGTTGTTTACGGTGGAGTTTCAATGATATCAGGGTTAGTTTGGGGGTAGGCGGTGGTCCTAATTTTTGGGGGTAGGCGGTGGTCCTGATTTTCTTATAGAAGAAAGAAACGGAGTAACTGATGATTTAGGGTGGTCGCCGGAAGCAGGTGTGGTAGTTATCCTCTTGAATCGTCAGAGATAGAAAAGGGGTGGTTGAAGAATTTTCTAGGGAGGAAGATAGGTATGCAAGGAAATGAGGGATAAAGAATGGAAAAGGGGAGGAGAAAACAAGGTGTACGATTTATGGGTTGCCCCTTACTATTAATTAAACATTTATTTGATTAATTTAAATATAATAAAATATAAAAAAATCTTATAAGGGTAATATAATCATTTTAGGTATGTCAGAGACGAACCACACAACAAAACGAAACCACAGGGGACGGTCTAAGTGCAAAAAAAAAAAAACGTTACCTAAAACGAAATTTTGACAAACCATAGGGACGATTTCAGTAATTTGTTCAAAAAACAAAATACATAAGTCCAAAGACTTGTGAGCTACACGAGCTATGACCTAGTATCAAAACTTGAAATATATTTCATAAAGTACGCATAAAATACTAGCATGTCATAATAAGTTAAACATGACTCTAACACAAAGTACACATAAAATACTAGCACAAAGCTAGTTTAACATTTCTAGCACATAGCTAGCTTCAAACAAGATCCTAACACATACTAGGACAAAGCTAGTTGCATAACTTGGCCCCGAAAAAAAACATATCATCCCGCGTTGTTAGGTTAGTATATACTCATATAATTATGTCCCCTTTCTGGGGACCTTTAACTACGTCCCTATTATTGAGACTTGTGACCATAACCTGTTTCGAGACCTTTAACTTTAACCGGGTCCCTTTAAATATTTTTTTCACAAACCGTTTTCATACTTTATATTTTACTTCGTTTCTATATGTATTTTACAATTTCATTGTTTTTACTTCCTTTTTATATGTTTTTTCATAATCAGTTTTTACAACTTCATTTTTACTTCGTTTTATATGTTTTTTCACAATTCCTTTTTAAATTACTTTTTTTACGTGTTTTTTCACAGTTCGTTTATACAATAAAATTGTGAAGAAACATGTAAAACAAAGTCACATAATGAAATTGTAAAGATAAATTGTGTAAAAACCATATAAAAATGAATACTGAAAAAAAAAATAATTTCCATACAGAAAAAAAAAATAAATGAACTTAGATAGCAAAGAAAACATAAAAACCTAACATTGTTGGTCATAAAGAGTATGTTGACTAAAAAAAATTCGGTGATTTTTTAGACTTAAAATATAATTTTGACTAAATGAACACAGAAAATAGTGCGTAGTAATTTTGATTTTAACTTTTATCCTCTCTAATAAATGAAAGTTTTTTTTGCCACTTGTCAAATTCTCAAAAGTTTTTTTGCCATTTGTCAAATTCTCAAAAGTCTTGCCACATGTAATTTTGTGGAAGTTTTAGAAATTATTATTTTTCACTTTTCATTTTTTGGGAATTTTCATTTTTTTAAAATAAAATTCCATAAAATTCTAACGAGTTTTATAAGGAAAGAGAATCATTCTATTATTTTGATAATAAAGTCTCATAAATGCTCTAAAGAATGTTTGATTTCTTTTATAAATGTTCCAAAAGACTACATTATATTATGTAAAAGTGTTATTTTAAAAAACATTTAATATTTAAATATTGATATTAAATTTTTGTTTTTAATAAACCCGTATAATACACAGGTCTTATAATAAAATAAAACTAAGGCCATGTTTGTTTACCTTTTAATTAAAAAATTAAAAATAACTTTAAAATTTTAGATATGACTTGTTTGGTAGCACCATAAAAAAAAATTACTTAATAGGCTCTTAAAAAATCGGGAAAATGACTTGCTAAGGTAATTAACTTTTCGGTATGTTCACATCTGGGTAACTATCTTTTTTTTGTACACATCTAGGTAACAAACTTGTTGGAAGTGTTCACATATGACCATTATGACCGGTTGTAGCAGGTCACATCCTAGATGTGAACACTTTCAACAAGTTCGTTACCTAGATGTGTACAAAAAAAAATAGTTACCCAAATATGAACAAAACAAAAAGTAAGAGTAAATTACACGAATGGTCCCTGTGGTTTGGGGAATTTGTATTTTTGGTCCCTAACTTATTTTTTTTAATTCGGATGGTTCCTATTGTTTGTTTTTGTTGCGCGTTTGGTTCTTGTCTTACCTAAAAAGACTATTGTGCCCTTATTAACTTATTTTTTAATTAATTTTCTTATTTATGTATTTATTTTTTATATATTTAAAAAAATTAATAGACCCCACATATGTATATCTCCTCACCATCCCATCTCTCATCCTCCTCCCATCTCATATTTGTATCTCCTCACCATCCAATCATTCATCCTCCATCTTTAGTGATATCGACGTCTTCACCATCCATTCTTTTTTCGGTCCTTCAACTCCGTCGAATCAACACCACAACCCACTAAAGATGAAGAGACAGTGGGTTATGGTGTTGGTTCGCTAGATTTGAAGAACAAAAAAAAAGAAATATGGTGAAGACGTCGATGTCATTAAAGATGGAAAAGAAATAGAAGTTGAGGACGATGAGAGATGGGACGGTGACCAGTGAGACTCAAATTAAATTTCTCAAATGTGGTTTCAGGTTTACGTCGAGGAGATAAAGATATGTGGGGTCTATTAATTTTTTTAAATATATAAAAAATAAATACATAAATAAGAAATTTAATTAAAAAATAAATTAATAAGGGCATAATAGTCTTTTTAGGTAAGACAAGAACCAAACGCGCAACAAAAATAAATAATAGGGACAATCCGAATTAAAAAAACAAGTTACGGACCAAAAACACAAATTCCCCCAAACCACAGGGACCATTCGTGTAATTTACTCTTACTTTTCGTTTTGTTCGGGTAACTATTTTTTTTTTACACATCTAGGTAACGAACTTGTTGAAAGTGTTTACATCTAGGATGTGACCTGCTACAGCCGGTCATAATGGTCATATGTGAACACTTCCAACAAGTTTGTTACCTAAATGTGTACAAAAAAATATAGTTACCCAGATTTGAACAATACCGAAAAGTTAATTACCTTAGCAAGTCATTTTCCAAAAAAAAAATAAAAAAAAAAATAAAATTCAGACTTGTGGTCGTGGATACATCTGGAAGAAAAAGGACCAATATTCCCTAAACCAAAATACACGCTCTTCTTCTCACTAACGGCCGCCGCATCATCTTTCTTCTATCGACGCCGCCTCCGAAATTCCTTTCTTCCATCAACGCTCCTTTCTCCATTCCCGGCGTCGTCTCCGGCTCCAGAGTCGTCTCCGCCAAGCCCTCTGCTATTGCACCATTCCTCCATCCTTATCTGCTCAGATTTGCCTGTGAAGCTGCTTCGATCCTCAGGTACTTCGATTTCCTTATTTCTCTTGCTATGTTTCTTTTGGCAGTGCTTCAAATGTTTCTTTTGGTAGTGCTTCAAATCAGAGGTTATTTATTTATCTTTATTTTTATGAAATCAGAGGTATGTAATTTGCTATATAATTGATTTTTTTTTCTGAAATTAGAGCTATGTAATTAGCTATGTCATTTAAGTCCTTTTTTCTGAAAACATATCAGATTTTTGTATGTAATGAAATTTTTTTTTCTGAAATATGTGAGATGAAATTAGATGTTAACTTTTTTTGAAATCAAACCTGATATGTTTACCTGATTTGATTTGCTGAAAAAAAAAATCATGGTGCAGTTTGATTTGCTGAAAATCAGAGTGTATTTTCTGAAAATCAAATTTTAGTTTGATTTGCTGAAAATCAAAGTGTAGTTTGATTTGCTGAAAATATGATATGTTTTGCTTGAAATATGGTGTTTTGTTAACACTTGATACTTCTTTTATATAGGATCCATTAAGGTTAGATTTTGTTATAAGCTTTCTAGATCATGACTTTAATCTTCGTTTTGATCCATGGTTGTCAAAGTTATCAAAGTTATGAAGATTTTGCAAGTTCATTTTTCTGAAGTTGTCAAAGTTATGTCTCAACATTCGTTGGCTTATGAAACATATAGACACATTGAAGACTCAAAGCTCTAAACCTGATTGAAATTTAATCCAATGGTATAATGAGAACTCAAAAAAGACTTTACCTTTCAAATTTTAATCATTGTTTATTGTATCATATTGTTTAAATTAAATTGTTACAACTCTACATATACTGTAAAAATTATTATTATTTAGTTAATTTTAATGACATAATCATTATCAATAATATATAGTTGTTAAATTTTAACTATAATTTGTTTCGTACATTTTAGTATTCATATAAAATAATGACATGCATTAAGTTATAACGTATTGTATTTTTAAATCTCATCTAAAATTTTTGACATTTATCTTTGATTTAATGAATTAGAAAATTAATCGGGCTAAAAAAAGCTAAGGATATTTTGATATTTGATTTCTCTTAATCCATATCCTTATCTATTATACTATTTGAACAGGTATATAATTATTCTAATCTTGAATAACAACCTAAGCGTATAAAAGGACACTTTGTTTGCTTGGGAGATTAGGTCTGATCTGCTCACTTTCCATGGATGGTCTATCTCTACCTAAGGATGCTCTTTTTCTTGGATTTGATAGCTCCACACAGTAAGTCCATTTTTCTATTTATGATTCAGTGATTGAAAAGTAAATGATGGTTTTGAAAATTTCTACTTAATTACCCACTCAATTGAGTGTATGCTTGCTAGAATTGATTCTTGAGCTAACAAAGATTGTGGGGTTTTAGAATTGATTGTTTTAGATTGTGAATTCTGTGTTTTTTTTTTTTAAAATATATGATAGAATTGACTCTCGAAAAATTTGTGTAATTATATTACAGGTCTTTAAAGGCAACTGTGCTGGATTCTAGTCTCAACATTGTGAGTTCAGAGATTGTGCATTTTGATTCTGAGCTACCACATTACAAAACCAAAGATGGTGTATACAGAGACCCATCAATTAATGGTAGAATTGTTTCTCCTACCTTAATGTGGGTTGACGCATTAGACCTAATTCTTAAAAGACTCAAAGATTCAAAGAAATTTGATTTCAAGAAGCTTGCTGCTGTTTCGGGCAGCGGGCAGCAACATGGTAGTGTGTATTGGAAGAAGGGCAGTTCCAAAAGTTTATCATCTCTGGATCCTAAGAAGCCTTTGGTTGATCAATTTGGGGAAGCATTTTCTACAAAAGAATCCCCAATTTGGATGGATAGCAGCACAACCCAACAATGTAAGGCTATTGAGAAAGCTTTAGGTGGTGCATTGGAGTTATCTAAGCTGACTGGATCTATAGCCCATGAAAGGTACACGGGCCCACAAATTAAAAGGATATTTGAGATGCAACCTCAAGTTTATAACAACACTGAAAGGGTCTCACTCGTGAGCTCATTCATGGCATCACTTCTGATTGGAGGGTATGCTTGCATTGATCATACTGATGGTGCTGGGATGAACTTGATGGACATTAAAGACAGAACTTGGTCAAAAAAGGCTTTGGAGGTTTGTATTATTTATAACTTTCAGAGCCTAAGGGTAGTATGGTCATTTAGTTAGTAAGAAAACTCATACGTTTTAGTTTTGTAATTGATATTTAATTAATATAGGCCACGGCTCCTGGTTTAGAGGAAAAACTTGGGAAGTTGGCTCCTGCTCATGCTGTTGCTGGTTTAATTGCCCCGTACTTTGTTGATAGGTTAGTATTTGTAAAAGACCAATATACCCTTTTCATATAGAGTTGATGGTCATTTATCAAGCTTTTTATGATGTTGTTCATTTAGGTTCCAATTCAACAAGGAGTGTTTAGTTGTTCAATGGTCTGGAGATAATCCAAATAGCTTGGCAGGTGAAACTTATCTTCCCTTTTTTACATTCTACATTGTATGATGTGATAGTTTTATACAATAAGTTTATCTTTTGGGTAACTGATGCTAGGTTTTACTTGCGTTTGACCTTTAAAAGTCAAACCTGAGTGTCTTTATGCGATTTTATATCGTTTATTGCTACTTCATTTGGCTTTTATAACTTAAGCCTGGTAATCTTATCTATCTATCTATCTGTCTTAAAAATTAAAATCAAGTGTAACAAATTTTCTTTCAGGTTGTCCCGAATTAAATGGTTTTACTTTCGTGTAAGGATCAATAAAATGTAGTTTTTTCCCCCATAATTAGGCATCACAAGATATTGTTAGCATTGATTTTGATATCCAAAATTCCTCTGTTTTGTCCTAATCGATGAGCATTTTAGATTTTTAACAAATGATAGTAAATCTGTTAAATCTAACTTTGCGAAAGAAATGTAGTATTTCGTTTGACAATACAATAGTACTTGATTTGAGCTTTGAAAGTCAAACTTGGTATTTATATAAATAATATGCTAACTAAAGGAATATGGAATTTGACAGGATTGACCCTCAACACACCAGGGGATTTGGCTATCAGCCTTGGCACCAGTGATACTGTAAGATCCTTAATTCATTCAAAATGCCTTTCACTTTAATATGGACCAAATGAATAGCAGCCAACAATAAGTTGTGTGAAATTAATATATATATAAATTTTGAAAATTGGAAACATTGCTGTTTTAATTTATCAAAAACATTGAAAGAGAACTTTGCTATTTGTTTAAGAAAGGTATATGAAATCCTTCCTTCCTCTGTGGGATAAATGATAATCATATTTTGTTGATAAAAATATTCAGGTATTTGGAATAACCATGGATCATAACCCAAGCCTAGAAGGGCATGTTTTTCCAAACCCTGTTGATACAAAAGGTTATATGGTGATGTTATGCTACAAAAACGGGTCTCTAACTCGTGAAGGTATGTAATCCAATCTAATGTTAATATGTTATTATGAAGAGAAGAGAAGAATAATTTATATGGTTGTGATCTTGATTGATAGATATTCGTGATCGGTGTGCGGATAAATCTTGGGATGTTTTTAATCAGTCCCTGAAGCAAGCACCCCCCTTAAACGGTTTGTCTTGCTTGATCATATATACATTCCTTTTTCAAGATTTCTGTAAGAAAGACCTTTTGTTTTATTTGCAACAAAAACCCAGATGATAAGATGGTTTGGGAAATTAATAACATCAATCACAAATTATATATATGTTATAAAAGCATAAATGAGTATTACCCCCTTTTCAGGTGGAAAGATTGGTTTTTACTACAAGGATCATGAGATACTTCCTCCCCTCCCAAGTAAGTTATACATACCCTCTTCTCTCTTTTCAATACATAGAAAGTCAAATATTTGACCTTTTTAATATAAAGTTTACATTAATTTTTTGAGCTTTTTATAAGAATCCTTGTATCATTTTGGAAATCAATGCTTATATATATAAATATAATTGATGGCCAAAGTCAAATTTTTCATAAAACCAAATGTTTGTTTTTCTTATTTTATCAGTCGGTTATCATCGATATATCCTTGAGAATTTCAAAGGCGACAGCTTGGATGGCGTAAGTGAACGTGAAGTGAAGGAGTTTGATCCTCCTTCTGAGGTCAGTATGTATAGTCGATTAATTCATTTAGCCATATACCAAAAATCTGTTACTAAAAAATAAAAATACTACACTTAGCAAGCAAACAGTTTGAAACTGAAAATCTTTCACCTACTATTTTTCAAGTTTATATAATATATATTTTTGCGGATGCATGTGCAGATCCGAGCATTAATCGAAGGACAATTTGTGTCAATGAGAGGGCATGCAGAACGATTCGGGATGCCATCCCCTCCAAAACGCATAATCGCAACAGGCGGGGCCTCTGCAAATCATACCATTTTGACCTCCATAGCTTCCATTTTTGGCTCCAATGTCTACACAGTACAAAGACCAGGTAATTAATTTGAAAAGACAGATATACCCTTTGGTTTTGGCTTGTTGAAAATTAAGATTTTGGTTTTTTTGAAACTTTGGTCAGATTCAGCATCATTAGGGGCTGCATTAAGGGCGGCTCATGGTTGGGTATGCGAGAACAAGGGAAGTTTTGTGCCGATTTCTTACTTGTATAAAGACAAGTTAGAGAAAACGGCCTTTGGATGTAAAGCTGTTGCAACAATAACAGCTCAAGACAATGAACTTGTGGCAAAATATGCACTTTTCATGAAGAAACGAATGGAGATTGAGAATCGGCTTGTTCAGAGATTGGGACGTTAATAAGAAACGGCTTGTATAGTGATTATTGTTAAGGGGATGTGTTCGTATAGTGTCTTGAAATCGTTTTTAAACAACTCGACTCTGACTTTAATATGAGAATGTGGTTTAAAAGTGGGGATATATTCACAAAAATGGCCATTAGAAATGAGATTATATATGATTATGAGTTTATGACATTATCCTTTTGCATTTACGAAAATGACTATGAATATCCAAAATGTGTATTTCGGATACGTGTTTTGAATTTCGGACAAGGATATTTAAATATTATTTTTATTTCCATATGATTAAGACATTTGTTTTACTTAAACGTGCTGACCACCTTAAGTGTTGGTAGGATAATAGTTCAAAAAGAAGACATTGACATTTAATAATCCAACCACTACAACTTCCACTAACACTAATCAATGGATCCACATTAATTCATCTCTTTATGAATTCTCCATAATCCTTCCTAAAACCTTTTCCAATTTGTGTATAAACATGGTAACAATATTCACTCTTAAAATATCTCACGATAGTCCAAAATCATATCTAAACTTAACTGTCCTTCAAGCTCCGACAATGACCTCAGAGCCTATTTTTAGCTACCAAAAGTCTTACAAAAAGTTAATATTTTCAATTTTCAGATATATCAAACTAAAAAATCACAATATTATCAAAGATAATTATAGTAAAAAAACAATACTTAAAATAAGTTTAAATTCTACATTGAACACATATAACCCTGTAACATCCCAAATTTTCAAGACTAAAAATTTCTTTTTTGATATAACAATTAGAAAATCGTTTATAAGAAAATACCATCAAGTCAAGTCATTTCATCAAAACCATAGTCACATGTCTCAAAGTCATATCATGAAAACAATAATAACATCAGAGTACAATCCCAAAAATGTCATGTGCGGAAATCCTGTGTGTGTGTGTGTGTGTGATGTGCAGCTACTGCACCGACTCCTTCCCCTTCTCTGAAGAGATACCTGAAACAAAACTGAAAATTATAAACATGAAACTTAGTGAGTTCCCCCATCATACCACATACCACATAAGGCCTGTCCTTCGATATCTTTCAACCGGTATCTAGCTGGCATGACTGGGAGCTGGGCTCCCCTTCGGTATCTTTCAACCGGTAGCCGGGAGCTAACCTCCCATTCGGTATCTTTCAACCGGTAACCAGGAGCTAACCTCCCATTCGGTATCTTTCAACCGGTAGCCGGGAGCTAACCTCCCCTTCGGTCTCTTTCAACCGGTAACTGGGGACTATTTCACCCCTACCACTACCACATAATGACGTATCATGAACATATAGCTAGGCATGCATGAGTGCTGTTTACCCCTTCGGTATCTTTCAACCGGTAACCGAGGACTATTCCGCCCCTACTACTACTAACACATATAGCATCCTAGCACATAATCATAACAGATAGCAACATACCAGATAATTATCACAAAGACAATCATCTCTACTATAATCTCTTACTAGTGGGCCGACCTTGGTGTCTTAGTCCCACTTCTATTGGAAGGTAATTCACCTCAAAGTCGTGTAGTATCTGAACTGTCCTCGGCACTGGGATCAACTCCTCTCAAACTCCTACACATAAAAACCTTCCTTTATTACCATTACATACTCTTAACCCTTTCAAGAGTCAACTCAGGTCAAAGTCAAAGTAAAGGTCAACACCCTGGTCAAAGTCAACTTTTGGGTCAAAGTCAACATCCGGTTGACTCAACTTGCCGAGTTGGTCCACAAACTCGTCGGGTTCCATAACTCACAGAACACTAGAACTTCGATCCTACTCGTCGAGTATTGCAAGAGCTCGCCGATTTCTCCTTTAACAAAGTCGGGACCTTCTACACTGACTCGCTGAGTTCATCCTTGAACTCGTCGAGTTCATCTTCATTCGAGTTAAAGTGTTTAGTCCTTGACTCGCCGAGTTCTTCTTGAACTTGTCGAGTTCTTCTTCATATAATTGGGATAATGCCTTGAGCTCGCCGAGTTCATCCTTGAACTTGTCGAGTATGTTGATCTTCAGGTCCATAACGAACCCAACTGGCCGAGTCTTCTTCCAACTCAACACACTACTCGATATCAGAAGGGGTTTGGGGGAACCGGGTGTTACAACTCTCCCCCACCTATTTCAGACTTCGTCCTCGAAGTCTGCTGCTGCATCCAGAAAAAGCTCGGGGTAGTACTCTCTCATTTCGTCCTCCGGCTCCCAAGTCCATTCTGAGCCCTTGCGGTGCTGCCATTGCACCTTCATCATCTCCACCCTCTTGTTCCTCAGGTCCTTCGACTTCCTATCGAGGATAGCTATTGGTCGCTCAATGTAGTTCAGGCTATCATCCACCTGAATGTCCTTTAAAGGCACCACCGCGGAGTCATTGACCAGACACTTCCGTAGCTGGGAGACGTGAAAGGTACTGTGAATCTGGCTAAGTTCGGCTGGAAGATCCAGCCTATACGCCACCTTGACCACCCGGGCTGCAACCCTGAAAGGACCGATGTATCTGGGGCCCAACTTGCCCCGCTTCCTGAACTGGATGACACATTTCCAAGGTGACACCTTCAGGAGGACTAAATCCCCGACCCAGAACTCCAGGTCCGAACGACGCTTGTTGGCATAACTTTTCTGCCGACTCTGAGCAGTCTGAAGCCTGCTCCGAACCTGCTGGATCCTCTCTGTCGTCTTGAGTACCACTTCGGTACTCCCCATGACCCTCTGTCCAACCTCACCCCAGCATATCGGGGTCCTGCACTTCCTCCTATATAACATCTCGAAGGGAGGACGGTCAATACTCGCGTGATAACTATTGTTGTAGGAAAACTATGCCAAGGGAAGGTAGGTATCCCAACTACCACCGAAGTCTAAAACATATGCCCGTAGCATATCCTCCAATGTCTGGATGGTCCGCTCGATCTGACCATCCGTCTGCGGGTGAAAAGCGGTGCTAAAGTGCAGACGAGTCCCCAAATCGTCGTAAAACTTCTTCGAGAATCTGGAAGTGAACCGCACGTCTCTTTCAGAAATCACGGAGATTGGCACTCCATGTCGTGCTACTACCTCTCGAATGTAAATGTCAGCCAACTTCTCGGCCGAAATGCTCTCCTGGATCGGAATGAAATGGGCGCTCTTGGTCAATCGATCCACGATGACCCAAATCGAATCCACTTCCCGCGCGGTCCTGGGAAGCTTTGTGATGAACTCCATAGTAATATCTTCCCATTTCCACATGGGGATGTCCAACGGCTGTGTCTTGCCGTGAGGCCGCTGGTGCTCCGCCTTGACCTTCCTGCAGGCCAGGCACCTCTCAACGTACCAGGCTACATCCCACTTCATGAAGGGCCACCAGTAATCAGGACGAAGATCTCTGTATATATTCGTCGCCCCAGGATGGATAGAAAACCTGGATTTATGGGCCTCATCCATCAAAATCTGCCGCACTCCGCCCCAGTACGACACCCAGACCCTCCCGTGCAAGGTCAACAACCCGCGATTGTCATAGTCAAACGAAGCCACCTGGCCTATGATCTGTTTGCACTTTCGGCACTCCTCCTCCAAACCCTCGACCTGTGCCTCTCGGATCTACTCCAACAGCGGAATCACTACCGTCATCCTCAAGCAAATGTCTCTGATCAGGGCTGTCTTACGACTAAGCGCATCGACCACATCGTTGGCCTTCCCCAGGTGGTAGAGGATCTCACAATCGTAATCCTTCACCACGTCTAGCCACCGACGCTGCCTCATGTGTCAGATTCGGTTGATCCATGAGGTACCTCAAACTCTTGTGGTCCGTGTAAATTGTACATCGGACCCCATAGAGGTAGTGTCACCAAATCTTAAGGGCGAAGACAACCGCCCCCAGATCCAAATCATGCGTCGGGTAGTTCGCCTCGTGAGGCTTCAGCTGCCTCGAGGCATAGGCGATAACATACCCTCTCTGCATCAATATCGCACCCAACCCTGAGATGGATGCGTCGCAGTACACCACACAATCCTCCATGCCCTCTGGCAGGGCGAGGATCGGCGCCTCGCATAGCCTCTTCCTTAATGTCTCGAATGCTGCCTGTTGCTCTGGCCCCCAACGAAAGACCACGACTTTCTTCGTCAACCGGGTCAAGGGTACGACTATCTTGGAGAAGTCCTAAATGAATCTCTGGTAATAGCCCGCCAATCCCAGGAAACTCCAAATCTCAGATGGAGACTTCGAAACCTCCCATCTCATCACGGCCTCTACTTTGGCAGGGTTGACCAGAATACCGCTCTGGTTGACAAGGTGCCCAAGAAACTGCACCTCGCGCAACCAGAACTCACACTTGGAGAACTTGGCGTACAAGCTCTCCCTCCTCAGAGTATCCAAAACCTCTTGCAAGTGCTCCTCATGCTGCTCCTGCATCTTAGAGTAAACCAAGATATCATCAATGAAAACTATCATAGACCGATCCATCATCGGTCTGCATACGCGGTTCATGAGGTCCATGAACACGGCAGGAGCATTGGTGACCCTGAAGGGCATCACCACGAACTCGTAGTGGCCATAGCGAGTCCAAAACGTTGTCTTCTGTATATCCTCGTCTCTGACCCTCATCTGATGGTAGCCTGACCGCAAATCTATTTTGGATAACCAAGATGCCCCATGTAGCTGGTCGAAGAGATCATCAATCCTCGGGAGTGGGTAACGATTCTTCACCATTACCTTGTTCAGCTCCCGGTAATCTATACACATCCGATGCGACCAGTCCTTCTTCTTCACAAATAGGATCGGGGCTCCCCAGGGTGAACTGCTCGGTCTAATGAACCCCTTGTCTAACAGCTCCTGCAGCTGTGTAGACAACTCCTGCATCTCAGGAGGAGCCAACCGATATGGTGCCTTGGCTATCGGAGCCGCACCAGGGACCAGGTCGATCCAGAACTCTACCTGTCTCTCCGAAGGTATCCCAGACAGCTCCTCTGGGAATACATCCGCGTACTCTTGCACCACTGGTACATCACTCACCGTCGCCTTACCCACCTTACGGGTATCCATGACATAGGCGACACACCCTGCGTAACCCTGTTGGAGGTAGCGCCTAGCTCTCGCTGCTGAACATAAAGCTGGTCCACGTTGTGGCCTCTCACCCTGAATCACCAGCTCTCCCCCAATTGGGGTCCTGACCCGGACCAACT